GGATCATTCGGACTCGAAATTTAGTTCCGTTTTCTCCTACGCGTTACTAACGAGCTCTTCTTTCCAGCTATGCTAAAAAGCGCAATTTATCTTGTAACTCAAATCTTCACGGGGCTCGATACCAATGCGTCGGAAACGATAACTCTCGAAAATCCAGACTTATTATACCTGAAATTACCCCAAAAACCGGAAAAACACAAAAACACACGAAAATACATGAAAACACACGAAAAACCTCAAAATACACAATAAATACTAGAATAACAAAAATAACCGAAAACAACTAAATGGACCGAAAGACCTTCTAAAAGACCTAAAAATGAGGGAAAATAAATGTAAAATAACAGTAAAAAACGTAACAAAAATAATCACAACAATGACATCGGCCGGAGCAAGGGCTCTACGACGGGCGATGCAACGACGTCAGCCCGGCAGAGCAGGGGCTCGTCGCCGGACTGAATAATGACATCGGCCGGAGCAAGGGCTTTACGACGGACGATGCAACGACGTCAGCCCGGCAGAGCAGGGGCTCGTCGCCGGACTGGATAATGACATCGGCCGGAGCAAGGGCTCTACGACGGACAATGCAACAACGTCAGCCCGGCAGAGCAGGGGCTCGTCGCCGGACTGGATAATGACATCGGCCGGAGCAAGGGCTCTACGACGGACGATGCAACGACGTCAGCCCGGCAGAGCAGGGGCTCGTCGCCGGACTGGATAATGACATTGGTCGGAGCAAGGGCTCTACGACGGACGATGCAACGACGTCAGCCCGGCAGAGCAGGGGCTCGTCGCCGGACTGGATAATGACATCGACCGGAGCAAGGGCTCTACGACGGACGATGCAACGACGTCAGTCCGGCAGAGCAGGGGCTCGTCGCCGGACTGGATAATGACATCAACCTCGCCGGAGCAAGGGCTCAACGGCGGGTGAAATAATGCTGTCACGGCTCGAAGGCCTCGTGACCTTCTGAGACTGAGAAGTGTTAGAGGAGCGGTCGTGCCTATCCCGAAGGCTTGCAGCAGACCGGCTTCCCCCAATCCTTCCCGTCTCGACTCAACTTTCACGAATGAAGTTCGACATATATTTTTACTCATGTCTTTATACATATACGTATGCATATCCACTATTTATTATTTTTATTATTATTGTTATTATTTTTAATTACGGTATTATTTATGTATGTGTATGTATAGACGTTATATATACATATTTATATATATGTATATGTATTTGAAATGAAATTGAGAGTAGGATTACCTCAGGCCGGCGCGGAGTCGGTTCTTCTTTTGCATTTATTCTTCAGGTCTTTACTGAGCTTCTCGACTTCGAGATTTTTTGGTCGCTTGTCAGTTGGGCGCTGTCATCCCTAATTCTATCTCTTACAAAATTATTCTGGGCCTAATGCTATCTTATTCTATCTATTACAATTTTCAGGGCCCAATTCTATTACATTTTCACATGCCAAACCTAAGTTCTCTAACTAAGCCAATAAGCCCATATTCAATCCACTAATGGACCCATTAACTATTCACCTATACGGACCACTAGTCTACTGTGCAGAGAGAAAACAGGAAATAGATTCTGGCTTCGCCGCTGCTACGGGGGCTTGCGATTTTGGGCGAGATGAGGTCGGCTCGGCATCCTGGATCGGCGTCGAAAAAGTCGGGCCCGAGTGTGGCCCGATTACGCCGAAAGTGGGCGGCGACGGGGAGAGTCGAGGTACGAGATCGGTATCTGAAGGGGACTCTGACCCCGGCTTTGAGGTTGGGTCGACGGTTGCGTTTTGGATGTCCGGCCATTGCGAGGTCGAGTTCGGCACCGGAATCTGAGGGCAACGGCGGCGGTTCGGCGTCAGTGGAGTCGGGGCAGCGACCAGATTTCTGAATCTGAGGAAGGGAGTAAGGAAAATTTCCGGCCTCCCTTTTTCAACCGGGGATTGCGATCTAGGCGACGGCAAGGTCGGCTCGTCGTAAGAGGTAGATCTGCGACGATTGGGATATCGGGATAGGCGGCAACGTTGAGGTCGGCCACGGTGGTTTGAATACCCGATTTGGGTCGGGTCAGAATTTGAAGGAAATCCGGGGTCGATGGTTGTGGGATCGACCGAGGTGTGACCGGCTCGTCAATTGCAAGGTTGGCCTCGGCGACGAAGCGGGTTCGGACAGAGACGGTCTGAGATTTGGATAGAGGCAGTGGCGAGGTCGGTGCCGGCTATTGATGGTTTTAGAGTCTGAGTTCGGCGTTCGGTTGGGGCGTTGTCTCCGGCGGCTGCTTTTCTAAGGCCGGAAATGGCAAGGTAAGATTTCGTGTTGTCTTTGTAGCCCGGAGGCGGCGAGAACGTGAATTCAGGTCACAACCGCCAACATAAAAAATGTAATAAATAAGCGCCAAGCTCGATCATGAAGCTCGGCTAGGCCAGGCTACCACCCGACCCAATGAGCGGATCGGATGGGTAATGCGCCATCATAATCATTAGTGCAATAAATTGCACAAACCGGACTCGACAAAGGGGCCCGATTAGGCCGAAACGCCGTAAAACTAAAGGCCTACGCGCCATTAGGCCGAAACGCCGTAAAGCTAAAGGCCTACGCGCCATTAGGCCGAAACGCCGTAAAACTAAAGGCCTACGCGCCATTAGGCCGAAACGCCGTAAAACTAAAGGCCTACGCGCCATTAGGCCGAAAAGCCGTAAGGCCGAAGTGCCTGAAACTAAAAACCGAACTGCAAAAACAGTTCGGCCCAACTAAACATGCGACAAGATGCTCTCATTCATCATACATTCATAACATACATTCATTGCATACATTCATCGTACATTCACGCATCCTCATGTGATTGCATTATGCATACAGTCTCGTAAGAAATAAAGAGCTCAAAGCTCACTCAAACAAAGAGTTCAAAGCTCACTCAGACAAAGAGCTCCAAGCTCACTCATGTCGACAATTCAAAATGCATTCCTGCATAAAAACGGGCACCAAATTGCCCAACTAGGCCGCTCAGGCCCCATCAAATAGCAAATTCGCAAAATTGCACATTCTCTCAAACTGACTCAACTCGTCAAAGATTAAAGCGTGATTATCGTAAATACGTTAGGCTAAAGCCTAAAAAGATTAACAAAACGCGCAAGGGTCCCACAGTGCCCGAAAACAACAAAACAACGATCCGAGTAACCAAAATTACTCGATGAAGATTTAATGAGTCCTCGAGACCCATAAAGTAAAAGCCGACAAGATAAATGTGATCTCCAGAATCACGCGAAAATTATCCGACACGTGTACTCGTCGGCATATTTGCAATTTCACCAATATCCCTCATTACGCGTAAATCCTAACGCCATCAAAAGAGCGCGAAGCTCAAAAGATCATAAGGTGAAAACATCGCCAAATTATCAAGAATAAACGCGACTTCAGAACAGTCCAATCAGAACATATCCTAAACTCGGGGGCCTCCTGTTGATACCAAATTTGGCTCGGATTAAATAAATGATAAATTAAATAATAAAATACGGCCCAATAACCGAGGAGCCGAAAATACATGATAAATAAACATACAAATAAGTTATTGAAACAGATCACGAAGAAACCGCTTTTTGATAAACGCGACAATTGCCGAAAAGACGGACGCCAATTAATACCGTCAAGGGTCATAAGCGGGTCCTACGATAACCATTTCACATCGAATAATGAACCAGTTGCTATATATTTTATTAGCCCACTTGTAAAAGTAGAGATGTATATATATGGAATGGGTAGGAGAGAGAAAGGGACTTTTCTCTTCCCTTGATCTTTCATTTTTTCCCTTCCTACACAAGACTAGAGAGAGAGAGTAGGGGTGGTTGGATGACTCTCTCCCCAAAACACCATTCTCATCGGTTTCGTTCTTCATTTTTCCATATATAGATTCAATTTGTATTTGACGGTTGATCGTCCGATTTTCGACATCAACAGTTTGGCGCTAGAAGGAGGGCTCCGTAATTTGCTCGGAGTCAATTTTCGCCGGAGAACGGCTACATTTCCACCGGAAAATGTTCCCTCAAAGCTTGGTATGAATATCCCTGCTCTTATTTTAGTCTCTCAGCATTTTTCATTTATCATCCTACCTTTTAGATACAGAAAAAATAAATCCCAAGATGTTCAAGAATCTTCATCACCGTGTTCCTCCTTTCAAATAAATTTTCAGCATCTTATAATCTGACATACCCCTCGAATTTGAATCTTGAAATAACAAAAACCCACCCTTGATTCTTGATCTTTTACCTCTCCTTTTTAATCTCGAATTCATGCTGCAATTCACGCAGAGATATTCATCCTTTTTTCTTTTCTTTTTTCATTCCTTTTTGTTGAATATAAAATCAGAGGCAAGCCATCCCACTTGGACATAATAGAGCCACTTGCTAACACTGTTCATGTCAGTATTGTCTTGTTCACGTCACATCCACATCCAATAAGATATAAATAGAATAAAATAAAAAAGAAAAAGAAAATGAGACCAACACCACGAGATCCAAGATCGCCGATAGCCATCCGACGCCGGGCAACGAGACTCCGGACTTGCGCCAATCATCAACCGACGCGCTTGGATCCCAAAACCTTCAACCCCGGGCTGACCAAACACCATAGCCCGGACGTCAAGCCGGCACCACACCACAAACACGAAATTGTAATCTGAGCCTTCAAAATGAAGGTGCCGACCCCGCAAATGCCGAACACCAATTTCTGCAACCAACGACGATCTTGCTCCACCGGCAGCCACCGACCGAACTCGGTGCCACATCGCCGGCGGCCGAACTCGAAACCTCAGCCGAAAGCCGGCCCGACACACCGCAGGTGCCGGGTTGACGCAAACCCCACCTCGGCCAATGCCACGCTTCAGCCGCCGGTCTACTTCACCACAGCCGGTGCCGACCTCAACCCAGGACCCACAGCTAACCGTCGGACCGACTTCGCAATCGAGGGTCGACCTCGCGAGTCGGAGCCGACATCAGCTCGGAACCACCATCAAAACACCATTCTCATCGGTTTCGTTCTTCATTTTTCCATATATAGATTCAATTTGTATTTGACGGTTGATCGTCCGATTTTCGACATCAACAGTTATCTTGCAAGTCGTCTTCTCGAACAATCTGATCGAATATTAACAAGCTCTTTAAATCTTTCCTCTCTTCTCTCTCTTTCCCCATCTTTTTCTTTGAATTTCGTCCGTGTGAGTCTCTATACTCTGTTCTTTGTTAAAGTTTTATTATATTAGCTTGGGGACAATTTCTTTTACACCCTAACCTGAAGATATATTAAGTTTTTCACCATGCCCGTTAACAATCTAATTTTTTACCCCGAAAAATGTAAAAGTTATTCGAATAGTTCGAATAACTGTCGCATATCGGTCGTATATTCACCATAGAAAGTGCAAAGGGTTATACGAATACCTTCGCATATTTAACTTTCGTACTTTCTGGGGTGAAAATTTAACTTATAATTAGGCATTGTGAAAAACTTACTCAGTCTTCAAAACGGAGTGTAAATAACCATTTCATCTTAGTTTTATTTATTGGGCTCCTAATTAATATTTTTGATTTAAGCAATATAGGCTAATACTAGAGGCTTTTTTTCCCTTTTCCAGTGATACTGGTCCTAATGAGACTACGTTCTTGGTGGCTTTCAAATTCGTTTACGTAATAGGGTGTAGTAGCCGTTCTTATTAATCTCTTTATTTATTTTCATCGATTTCAATTTATTCATGTTATTTACGTGCTGAAATTTGAATATTTATTGTTAATTTCCGTTTTCAGCTTGAAGCGGAGTAATCGGGACGTGTTCGGAACAAACCGGGTGCGATTCGTGATCGACCGGGTGCTGTCAGGACCAATCACTGGATCCACTCTGCCAGCTGTTGTCCCGCCTCTCTGCTCGTCGTTGCCGGGCGTTGGCCTTTGAGTAATTTAACATCGGTAGTTTCTTCCATAATTTTTTTTTTTTTTACTCCAATTGCTGAATTATTTTTATGGAAAGCTTGGCAGGAGGGTAAAATGGGAGTGGAGAATTTTGAAATTTTTTGATTTGGAGTGGGACAACATTTAAAATTATAACTTTAAATGAAGGACAAAAAGAGATTAATAGCAGCTTGAAGGCTATAATATACTTTAATAGGCACCTTCTATCAAATGATAAGACCTAACATTAGTTATGGAAAAGATATGTCGGTCACTAGCAAGAAACCTCTTCAATCTTGTCCAATTATTATTGGGTCTTCTTTCAAAAAAATAAAAAATAAAAAAAAATAAAATTATTATTGGGTCCCACCAGCCCAATTAATTTGTCCTTTTCGTTAGTGTTCGCATACAAATACACTCTAATCCTACCAGTGTTCGTTCGTCAGAATCAACAGTAGCACATGCAAATTATCAAGCAGATATCGCAGCATTCTGCTATACAGGTTAAATATTTATTTATTAACAAATCTGCATGAAAAACATAATTAATTTTTATACACTCAATGACTATTACTTATTAACTACAAATTGGCTTAAATTGAAATTTTGATCGTTGATTTATTAGATATATTTAATTTCAATAAGATTTTATAATAATTTAATAGTAATTTATTGACACAATTAAAAATATATTATGGAAGTCGATTTGATTAAATATATTATCATCTATGGTTGTAGGTATTAATTTAACTAATTTCACTATTCAGAATAACTATGTTTTAATTATACTAACTTAATAAATAATTTAAAATATTAATAAAAGTTTCTAAAATGTAGTTAATTTAATTATAAATAGGTACATCCCCATTGAATATATCATATGCAGTGATAATACTATTGAAAATTTAAATAATATACTAATGAAAATAAAATTTGATAGTCGGGTGCATTTTAGAATTATACATTTAACCTTAGAAGTATCTATGTACATAAAAAAATTATTCACCTTTTAAAAATATATATATATATTTTCTTATATACTATTATATAAATGAAAATAAGTTAATAAAAAAAATGTATAGTAATTTAAATTATAGTACTTGGTAATTATGAACATATATAATATATCTAAATATTCGAATATATATTATGTAACTTATTATATAGGTTGAAAAAATGAGTTAAAAAAAATAAATATACATAAAAGATGAAAACATAAAAATAAAATATTTAACTATAAAAAAATTGTGTGTTGAATAAAGATTAAAGGTACTAAAAATGAAAATTTATTTATCAAAGTTTTAACATTAAATGCAAGCGGAAGATAAGTATTATGGGTTAAACATTGGTCAATAAGCAATGTGCAAATTATGAATTGTTGAAAAAATTATAAGACTATGACAAACGATAATTTTATAAGTACATACAAATAATTTGTATGTAAATATTATATGGTCTTATACATTTATAATATTTTGTAAACTTATAAATAATAAAATTGATATATTAAATAGTCAAAAACTACAAAAAATATATATATAAAAATAGAAATTAACAATAATAGTAAATAAATAAATGTCATATTATTACTGAATAGAATATTGCGGAGAATATAATTTCATATTGTCTTAAATAATTTTATAATATTTAAATAAAATATGCAGATTTTGATTTCACTATTACAAAAGGACACGGGACTTGCCATGTTAAATTATGAACTTAATCGTGCATATATGATGACAGCTCTCATACGTTCCGAATAAAAACACTGGAAATGTTTTTTGGTCCCCAAAATATTAATAGAATAGGCTGGACCATGTAATTCGTCACCACATATTTAAGATAACAAATCAACAATAATAAAAGCATTGTAATAAATGATAAAATAACCAATACCAATAATTAGAGCCGGCGATGAATATTTGCTCTTCACCAATACAATATACATAAAGATTTGGTTAGTACTTTTTATGAAGTACCAAAG